TCTGCCTGTGCATGTGCATTCTGCCTGTGCACCTCAAAAAGTGGAAAAATTGAAGAAGGAAGAGGTAAAGCCTTATGAACCTCCCGCACCATTCCCTCAGAGGTTAATGAAGCCCAAGGAAGACCCAAACTTCAAGAAATTTGTGAATCTCTTCAAGCAACTTCATATCAACATACCGTTGGCGGAGGCACTTGAACAGATGCCTACATATGCTAAATTCTTAAGGGAGTTGCTGACAAAGAAGCGTAAATGGGCTGATCTAGAGAAGGTAACCCTTACTTCTGAATGTAGTGCTGTGATTCAGAATAAATTACCAGAAAAGAGGGATGATCCTGGCAGTTTCACCATTCCATGTGTCATTGGAGGTACAGAGTTCGATAAATCACTTTGTGATCTTGGAGCAGGCATTAATTTGATGCTATACTCAGTCTACAAGAAATTGGGATTGGGAGATGTTCTTAAGCCTACTCGGATCACTCTCTAATTGGCCGATCGATCAGTAAAAATTCCAAAAGGAGTGGTGGAGAATGTATTGGTGAAGGTGGGGAAGTTTATTCTCCCAACAGATTTTGTAATTCTGGAGATGGAAGATGATCGGGGAGTGCCTCTAATTCTTGGCATACCTTTTCTAGCAACCGGTGATGCACTCATCGATGTTGGGAGAGGCAAGTTGACATTCCAAGTAGGTAAGGAGGAGGAAATTTTTAATGTCTTTCAAGTTGATCATAATCAAGATGCAATTGATGACCTTGAAAGTGGAGCTCGAGAAAGGAAAAATTCCTCTTCCTGTGATAGTGGACCACCCAAAGAACTATCACATGTCCTAGCAGCTCAAAGTCTGAAATCAAAGCAAGGGCAGAAATCCTTGCCAGGGCACCTCAAGTATAGATATTTGGGTAAGGATTTCAATCTTCCTGTTATTATTCCTTCTTCACTGACATTGAAATAGGAAGAGTACTTGCTTGCGGCGCTGCAATACCACCTACGCCTCACTAAAGGATCCAACATGCCAACTAAGAAGGTCATACCAAATTTTCGCACACCAGGCCTTGCCGAGGTGACTCATATGTTGGATGGAGGTTATGCATTCTATCATTGCTCGGGAGGGTATTCTGGATACCTTTCCATACCCATTGGTTGAAAGCTCCATGAACGTCAGGCTGAGGACGTTAAACAAGCGCTTCTTGGGAGGCAACCCAAGGTAAGTTTTCTTTTCTTTATTTTTCTTTTTTGTTGTGTCAAACCCGTGCATGTTTAGATTAGGAGTTGAACATTAGGGACATTGTTTCATCCTGAGTGTGGGGTGGTGAGTCTTAGTGTTGTTTGTCCTTATTGCATTTGGTAAAAAAAAATCCAAAAAAAATTAATAATTGCCATTAGGTTGAGCACAGCCAAACTGCATGCAGTTTGCCTGTGCAAAAAGCAGTCTGTCTGTGCAAAGCTAATGGCTAAAAAACACCTAAAAATCAGAAAAATTAAAAACAAAACCTTGTACTCTTGTGGTAACATGATGTAAATGACCGTGATGCGTGTGAAATGAGTTTGTGCTTGAATGAAATTATCAAAATCACCCCACTAGTGTTGAATTGCATAGTTCTTCACAATGAGCTTGATATTTTGATTGACTTGATGTGCTTTGAATGAGCAAACTCTTTTAGCAACATTCTCTTTTGTGAGGATAGTGTAATGACTTTTAGTGAAGTAGTTAGGTGGAGAACATTGACCATTCGACATGTTTGGATACCGTGCTTACTTGCATCTATTGTGAGTTGTTGACTTTGCAATGAGTCTCTCTGTTTTGAATGTTTTAGATGGGGTTAACTGTATCTTCATAAAAGAAAACACTACCTGACAAGAAAATTATAAGAAAGTTGGCATAACAATTAAAGTGTGGGTAAAATACCAAAATCGTGTGAGGCAATCACTCATTGCACATGGGGATTAGGAAAGATTCAATTGAGCATCGGTTCACGACCGTACGATGTTGCTTATCAAGTACAATCCCCAGCTGAGTGAAGTCCATTAGAGGATGTGCAAAGACCCTCCACACGGACCGAGGAAAAGGAGTTAAAAGAAGCCCTTATGCGAGTGCTAAGAAGCAGAAATTGCTCTTGCTCGGTCACTAGTAGTAAGAAACAAATCCCCACTTGTACTAAATACGACCTCTCGGCAAGCAAAATCAGAAAGAGAGAAAGACTCTCCTTGTCATAAAAGGTAGCGATGTGCTTAAAGTTAAAATCATGTTTGCGAAAGGCTTCCCCCATTAGTTTTTGAGACTCATGCTTTGTTAATTGCTTATTATTGGTGTGAGTAAGCCAGATTGCCCTCACGAGATATGCACCTCACTGATGTGGTTAGATTCTCCTAATAACTGTTACACCATAAGTTGTTAATCACCCACTACCGACGATCGGAATTGAGTGTTGCTATTTGAGTTTTTGATGAATTTGAGTCTGTCATTGGTAATGGTTGCAAAGACCTTGAGTGTGGGGTGAAAGGTATGATCATTAAGGCACAACTTGTCCTTTGAGAAAGAAACTACTGATTACAACAAAAGTACAAGGGTAAATTTCTAGTGTTGATGTTGTGTTTTGTGTGTCATGGATTTTTGTGTGAGCATGATTGTGTCTCCCTGGTCTGTGTTGTGTTTCCTCCAATTATCGGTTTCTTGTTTGAGTCATTGCTTAGGGACAAAGCAAGTATTGTCGCCTTCCCACTTCCCGTCAATCCACTTCATTCCCAGTCTTCAGTCAATCCGTCATCAACCCACAGGCTCGTTGGTCGTCGCCAATCGCAACTTCAGTCGACCGGCGACTCTCCCTTTACTCACTTTTAGCGAATCGCGACATCAACAACGACTTCACCACCTTCACTCAATCGAGGAGACGAGGAAGAAGGTGAACCCATACAATCTGAACTTGTCGATTTCAGAAAACGAAACAAGATCCTTCCCCTTCCCGATCCGCATATTCTTCTTTTATCTTTCTTTTTGGAATCGACTAGAGGAATAGAAGAAAGATACGAAAAGGGGATGATTCTTCCCCCCTTGCGACCGAAGGCGCCGCCGACGAGGATGATGACTTACCCACTCTTTCCTCCTAGAATGTGAAGAACTTCCAGAAAGGTATGTTATTAGTTTGTTATCCATGTTTCATTACTTAATCAGCGGGCCTTGTGTATCTCTGTGCGGTTGTTTCCGTTGATGGGTAAATATATAAGGGACTGGTTCTGTCTTTTCTGAATCGTTGTTGTTGCTGATTTGAAGTTTGCGGAACTTGATTTTCGGTGCAAAGGGATAATTCAGGTTTCTATTGAATTTTAAAGTACTTTGAAAATGGAATGAATCAAGTCCTGAGTTATATGTACTACTGTTAGATTTCTGGAACGAGTAAGAATGTACGAGAATTGATATCTGTACTTGAATTCATTCGGATTTTGAACATCTCATCTATTTGTAAGAACTAAGTAGTACTGCGGGAGATCGGGCATACATTTAATTAGTACTTCAAGCGAACTCTTTAGTTTATTATAAGTTTAAGGTGGGGTGAAATTTTTGGCTTTATGAATTTGATTGATATCGGCATATTTCGGTTTATTCCGGTATTACTCTAAAACGGTACTCTGACGTTTATTCCATAGACGAGTTTGGTATGACTTTTTGTACTGTTTTCAAAACCATGTTCTGGTGAGGTTTGGATTTCTCCTTATAATTTGTTTTTTTAGTTTCCAGTGAGTTTATGACCATTTCTTTATTTGTTTTGATTTGATTTGAATTCCGACTAGGGTTTGCGGATGAGAAGAGAATGAAAAAGAAAAGAATGAACCGCCGTGGGCAGTCATGTTGACGTTGACAAGGAGATTTTTGGTAAGATGTGGTAGTTGTTTTCTTTTGATTATTGGTAGTTCTAATTCTAGTAATGGGCCGTGTGTGATTTTGTGATGGATTTGAATCAAGGAACTAGTGAGAAGAATTTTGTTGTCTCCATCTGTTGAGGGAGAAATGGGGGAAAGGAAGTCTCTGTTTTGCAGAGTTCCGTTGTCTGTGGAAGAAGAAGAAGAAAGTTCTCAGGAAGGGGAAGAGAAGAAGAAGAACTGGCGAGAGTCCCCCTAAAAATCAGTGCTCAGCCGTCTATTGATAGAGGGAAGATACTGTTTGAGCGGTTTGTGATTAGTTAGAATGGTTTGTGTCGTGGTGAACAAGGTGAAATATTTTGTGTCATGGTAGACAACTTAGAATGTTGGTTATGCTAAACAAGGATCTAGACTACTATAAAAATGGTTGTAATGTTTTGGATTTTTGGCAATCTTTCCATTATCAGGTTGCAGTGCAAGAAACAATTTCGAATTATGAAATTTTTAAGCAGGTCAAATATGTCAACAATGTCATGTTGTCACATTATGTACATTGCCTATCAAAATAAGCAAATTATGACAAAATTAATGACAAAAAATGTTGACATAATATCTCCGTTTTTCACATAATACACATTGGCTGACAAAAATAGCTCTTGTTATATTAGACATGAGACAAATAAGGCACCTTTCTTGACAAATATATTCGTCACTATATGTAGGAATGACAAAATAATGTCGTCATAATAAACACTTATGACAAAATGTACTCGTCACAATATACAGTTATGACAAAATATAATCGTGTAATATGACGAACAATCCTCCCAAAATTATCAGATTATGACAACAGTAATGACAAAATATGTCGTCATAACATCTATGTTTGTCACAATATACAACCCAGAACCTCAGCTATACTGAAAGCAAATGTGACAACTTTGTTTTAAATATTTGTCACATTTGACCTATCCTGACAGCGATAAAATGACAAAACTTTATGACAACACCATTTGTCATATTATACCTAATATGACTAAATGGGTATATTATATGACAAATTTCCTTCGTCATAATAGGCCGAATTTGTTGTAACCTTGCCCAACTTAAGTTGTTCTCCCCTTCAACTAATGCAAATGCTAGGGGGGAAAATACTTAAATTTTCATTAACGCAGTGGCAATAAGAAGAGTTCCTTTGTACTTCCTAGTAAGGAAAGTGTCATCAACCTGTTCAAAAGAAACTGTTTAGATATTATTGCTATTCATACGGTTGAAAAAATGAACTAGTACAACAGTGTTTAGACCGTAATATACCTGGATCACTGGCATGCAGAAGGCATACCCGTCAATGCATGACTTGAATGCCCAGAACAGACGATGAAACATCAACTTGTTCTGTACTCGAACTTGATCTTCGATTTATACATTGTTGTACCACGACACGAAAACAGTCCCAAGGTTGGACTCCTCCATTGAGAACATTAGTCTAGGGAGTAAAGCATACGAGTCGTCCCAATCACCATAGACCTCAGCCATGACCTTCTGCTTCCCATGCCACGCCTTCTTATACCTAATCGTGTAGGAATGTCGATCCTTCACCTCGGCCATGATAGCTTTGATCTTGATATCTGGTTGTGCCTCGAAGTTCTTAATGGTTCTTGCCACTTTCTTTGCTTTAAGTTGGTGGTGATCCTGGGAAAGTATGGCTGAGGAACAGCTGTGGTTGTTCTCTACTATACGAATGACCCATGCACCCTTTCTCTTCATATATATAGCCCGCAGTTCCCACATACAACCCTCTCCAGCATTCTTGCAAATGACATGTAGTTGTTTAGTGTCATAATATTTTACCTTCCATTCGAAATTGCACCGCATGACTTCTTTGCCAAGATCATCTTGAACATCGACTTTCGAAGTGAACTCCATACCCACCTCCAAATTGGCAGTCGGATTATACACATGTATAGGGAGAAAGTCAGGGGCATCGTTCTGAGTATATAAAAATTCAGATTGAACCTCTGTGCAGTAAGGCGTTTGTGCCTCACGGAACGCCACCTCGTTGTCATCGATATCGTCCGTATCTTCCTCCTCGCTGACTGATCTCAAATCGTCCTCACTTTCCTCAAAACTGGAGGCAAATGGATAGCTCGGATCATGAGGATCATCGTGACCAGCATAACCAACATCATCATCTTCTCGGTCATGCGAAGTACGCTCAGATCGAAGGGTGTTCTCAATGTCAGTGCACTCTGGCCCCAAGCAGGCCATTGATCACCGTCGGGCTGAACGAATGGGGTAGTCTCAGCAGGTTGCGAGTATTCTTCCCACCACACAGCTCATGCAGAACTACCTTCTCCGTAGTTGCTTGAACTACCACCCCATCCGTACCCACCTGCAAAACCATTATCACAAGAATACTGGTGAGATGAGTTTCACCGACCGGCTCGGTCTCGACATACACCTCTGCAAGTCGCATCCTGTTTTCAGATAGTAACTGTACATGTTCATCGCGTCATCATCATTTATGACAACTTCTTCGTACATAACTCCGCCAGCACTCATGTTTGGATACCGATAAGTAATTTGACCAACTCTCGTTTGTCCGCCCATACAAATCCTTTCTGCACAAATGTCACGGAGTTCTAGCCACGTGAATCTCGACTCATTTTTTAGCATAGTATAATTAGCCGAAACTTCTTAAATTTACTCATATCTGCAATTTATAATAAGTAACTATTAGCTTAACTCGAATAAGATTAGTATAGTATAATTAGTAGTTAGGGCTACAAAAATAATATCATCCAGACCCATAACAACCCCAACTAACTAATCTAACATGAGAATTCTAAACAACTTCATCAAAATTCATAACTAACTAACATCAATCATACCATAATTAATCTAAATAAATTCACTAATTACAGACATATAATTATCAAAACATAAAAATCTAAACAATACATAAAAATCTAAATATAAATTCATCCTTATGACCCACATCCTATTTTTACATGAAAAAAATGTTGTTTCTTATAGTATAGAATATTCATCATATTTTCGAACTACACTACAGTCTGACCATATACTTTAAAAGGTGGAGAAAAAAAAAAATAGTTTTGACTACTATTATTGGTTTTGTGTTGTGCAATATCTATTAGATATTGGATATTGGTATGCAAATTATTGTTAATATCAACTAAATATTGCAATGCAAACTATAAATTATTAATGTATCAAAATCATAAATTATTGATACATTCTTACTAATTTGCTATGAAATTGTTATAAATGTTAGTAAACTTTCTTAATGACTAGTTGAAGAATTGCTTTTGCGGGTTGACCCACAACCCAATCGCACCCATCCGCCACCCACCCAACCCAACCCGCAGAGGTATGTGGGTGGATTGCGGGTCACAATTATTCTAACTCGCTAGTATGCGGGTGGGTCAATTTGAGACCAAAACTCACCCAACCCGCCCATTGCCCAGCCCTACATAATTATAACATACCGAAAATTTTGAGTTTCTGTAACCGTAGTTGCTGGAAGCGAACTGATGTAACACCCTACCCTATACGTTTTTCCTAATCATATTATTCATACAATTGCAGCGGAATTAACCTCAGGTGTTACATTAATTATCAAAATTTACCCAAAATAAAATTTCGACATGAATTACTCGCATAATGGGCTAACAGTTCTTCCATATGATCCTGCAAAATAATTCATCTGAATCCATGCATTCATAGACAAACATATATACTCACAACCATATGCATTGGCTTTTCATAGCCATAATCACAGTTTTATACTACACAACTGCATACTATACTATTACATGCTATAATCATCACAACTTACATAATTACACAATATACACATATCATCAACTTTCCACACCTGTGGATATCTCACACTACATCAGAAGCTAGTATGTACATGAAAAACGTAATCAAAACATTTTTACAAAAAGGTGTGGATCACTAGCCAAAATCCCGAGTAGTAGTCCAAGCACAAAATAGTTGAAGACAATACCTCATCTTGCCTTCAACTCCTCCCTATGCCCACACGTAAGTACTTGCTACTGCTACTGCTGATGATCTGCTTACACATAGCATAAGCAGAGGAAAAGAATAAGTGAGGGTCGGCTCATAGCTGAGTGAGATAATCATAGCATCGTGAGTTCATAACAGAGCATACCCCTACCATACATCTAGCAAACAAGCCAAAGCACTAGGATCAGACCTCAGCCATCCGACTTCCCAATAGGCAAAAGACTCAACCACCTTGACTTATGTATATGCATCTTATCATGTTTTAATCATAGCTGCCTGGCTACTCCCATGCTAATTACTCTCCCGGGAATACAGACCAAACATCTCGTGGATGTGGTCATATCGGACCCACCACTGCCGGTGTAGTCATATCGAACCTGACACCACTCTGGGTGTGGCCATATCAGACTCAACACCACTCTGGGTGTGGTCATATCTCATGATGAATCAACGGTCAACACCACGTCAGGGGTGTGACATAACATATCATAACGGAGTAATAGCATGGGGAGCCCTAATTACTATGTAATTGACCATGAGACCAAATCACTCTTATTTGGTATCCTTATACATGATTCATATCTCATCTTGCTTAATCATAATTCCTTACTTGCACCTGTACTTGACCTGACTATAATTGGCTCAACAGAGGTAAAACAGGAGTCGTATAATTGCACTTCCTCGGGATAAACCCTCGTGCAAGTCATCCTCCTAAAACATCAAAATATCACCATGGGATATATATATTTTTCTCACTTGTACATCCAAATAAATCAATCATGAAAAATCATACCCAATCACCTTCTCGAACCATCATAAGGCATATCAACAGTCAAGCCCACAATTTGCAACATATACACAATCATCAGCATAAACAAGGTCCATATCGACTAGGGCAAGTCAATAATATCACACAACAATACATGGTTCATCATATAGCTGAAAAGTCCATACACTCCTAATCATGCCATTCTAGTTCACCTAGGTCAATTCTAAGCATCAATATATAACTATCGTGATACGACAAACCCGGTATGTCGTGCTAATCCCTCACCAGTTCTGGTCGTTTAACACTGGTTTTAGCCTCCCGAACTAAACTTCACTTTTCTCAAACAAACTCGGAATCAAAATCCGAGATTGTCCTAATATCCCCTACAGTATCCCCGTCAATGTTAGTTCTAGGCTCCAGGTCAAATTCTCGATAAAAACACATCAAACCCTGGTCGGAGCTAAATTCAGTGATTTGAACCCCGACCTAAATGATTGTCGAAATTCATGGATTAGAACCAGAGGATTAATTACCTCATTGTAGGAAGCTCGTATATGAAATCTGGGCTCAATCAGGCTTCCGGATACTCCGAAACCCTAATTTGGCTAATCGAGAATTCAAGAAATTCCTGATCCAAAAACTCGTTTTAAAGCTCTAAATCGATAAACTACGACGTATCTATGGATTAGGCGTTACTTGAGGAATTTTTGGATCACTAAAGCTCAAAATTCGAGCTTTGGAAATTCCCTCGTAGCTCCCCTGTACCGTCCTCTGTCTCTCGTTTCCTCTCGGTTCAGAATGAGAAAAAAGATGACGGTGGGGAAAAAAGATGGCTGGGGAGTTAATATATATAATTCGCCTCCGGCTAATGCAATTATATATATATATATATATAAAATTCACTGGGGAGTTAATATATATAATCTGAATTGCTATTTGTCGCCCTAAAATTTAAATTATTTCGCCCTAAATCATACTAAATTCACATTTATACCCCTATACCCAATTTTAATCACTAAACGATAACTCTGCTGCTGTCCATCCCACCAACCGTCCGACCACCGCTACTGCTCCCCCAACCAGTCGCCGCTCCCATTCCCACACTTCGCCGACCTGCTTTTGCTGAGGAGGGAGAAAGAAAAGCACGAGGTAGAAGGTTTGAACAGCTTGTTGTTGTTCCCCAGCCTCCGACCGACTCTCTGCTGTTGTTTCTTTTTCTAACACAGGCAATTTCATTCGTTCATTTCTAGCATTCATTCAAGAACATACAGATTGCAAACACAAAGGCGGGCACCAAAGATCAATCAATTTCCGACTTTTTATCATCCACCCTAGAGTTCATTTCATTGCAGAATCAATCAATGAAGGGCTGCAAAAACACACAGATTGAATTATAAATTCTTAGATGCCCATGATTTTTCCATAACCATTCGAAGCTAACTTAAGAAGCCAACAATTACCATTCCAATTTATGCAGTGTAATGATTATATGAAAATGCAACAAATTTGCAGGGAAAAGTGAAATGGAATTTAACTTGTACGATGATGAATTAGTTCAGGACGACGCGGTGGTGGCAGGAGGCGAATCGATTAATGGTGGCGGCGCAGTGGGCAGGGGGCGAATTAGTGGTGGTCAATTTTATATATAGATATAAAATTAATATGTATACATTTTTGATCGATTGATAATCCGATTCTTGTCGAAATACTATCAAAACGCTCGATTTTAAATCGCGAACTTTCTAGCGATCGAAATATGGGTTTAACCGTAATAGGATGTTACAACTGAGAAGGGATTTTTTGCAACAATTTGAGTTGATTAAAGCAGATTGTGAAACCGGTATGTGAGGGATGAGTTTCTATATGCAAACCAGATGGACTAATCACCGCAATGGACGACTGCGGTGAATATATCACCGCCGTCTGCAAAAACGGTGATTGCTAGGTCGTTGTGACCTAATTTTCGACCTATCAGGGCAGGAAAACGTAGTAAATAATCACCATTTTCACAATAGCGGTGAACTGTTCACCGTTATTCATTAACGCGGTGATGCTTTCACTATTGTAGGCAACAACGGTGATGTATTGACCGTCTTTGTTAAAAACGGGGATTTATTCACCGTTGAAGACTACGGTGATGATTTCCATCACTGTCTTTGACCACGACAGTGATGTACAAACATGTGTACTTTGGGAAGTATTTTTATAACTAATTATTTTGAGAATTTTTTTTAATAACTAGTTTATTCCGAAATTTTTTCCGGCTTAAGGATCGGATTTGACCCAGTGACCCGTCGTTGAAAACGGTGATTGCTAGGTCGTTGTGACCTAATTTTTGACCTACCAGGGCAGGAAAACGTAGTAAATAATCACCATTTTTCACAATAGCGGTGAGCTGTTCACTGTAATTTATTAACGCGGTGATGTTTTCACTATTGTAGGCAACAACGGTGATGTATTGACCGTCTTTGTTAAAAACGGGGATTTATTCACCGTTGAAGACTACGGTGATGATTTCTGTCACTGTCTTTGACCACGACAATGACGTACAAACATGTGTACTTTGGGAAGTATTTTTATAACTAATGTATTCTGAGAATTTTTTTTAATAACTAGTGTATTCTGGAATTTTTTCCGGTTTAAGGATCGGATTTGACCCAGTGACCCGTCTCCCCCCCCCCCCCCCCCTCTTCCTGCCGCCACGACCAACATTAAGTGGCTTAGGATAGGGTCAGTAACCATTGGTATGTGGGTGGTAACCTTCTACAAATTTCTGGGTGAAAAAAAATACTGGACAAAAAATTATCATACTTTACCACTGGTATGTGGATGGTAACTTGTGGTAATCAATGATGAAAGTCGTAAATGACAATTAATATACTCCTACTATCATGTATTCAACCTTATTACCATATTGGTATGTTCATACCATCATGGTATGCTTTCTTACCATATGGTATTAAATATGAGCATACCATATAGTAATGACTGGTAAAAAATTATTCAATTTTTTTTTTACTAAAAATATATCAAAGTGGATATCATTTTAAAGAGCACATTTAATCTGATTTATCTGTGCAAAAAAATTAAATTTCGACCTAAAACCAGAGAAATCATCCGTTAAAAATTAAAGGGGAAAAAATAAAAGACTTTGCAGGAGAGAGGAGATGTTGATTTTTTGCGGATGTTTACTCACCATAAAAGTTATGGATATGATCCGCTCCCACATTTAGTGGTATCCAACAATAAAAAAAACTACGATAAAGAGGAGGAAAAGAACATCTGATCCCCATGCCTCGTGCCCAGGGGTTGCAAAAATGGAGACAGAAAGCGAACTCGGAAGCAAAGTGAAACGCCTTGAAAAATAGAATCAAATGACTCACCGAAAAGGAAACCTACTAAAACAGTAGTTTTACGTTCAAAGATTATATTTGACTGCCACATAGGATGAAGTTAGCGAAAATGGACGATGAATGATCAATGATAAAATGAAGTTTTAAGTGAGAAGGAAATTTTCTTTGGTAACAAATATAAGGATCATGTGGAAAGAAAGGATAAACGATCTCACTGATCTAAAACAGTAAATATAGAAATATGAAAGAATCAGTTCACCCAGACTTGAATTCAACAAGTCAATAGGTAGCACTTTAATAGTGCCTCGAATGGCAATCAACAAACTAAGGTCAGATACTAGTCCTACAAGCGCTCCCCCATTCCCAAATGCCCCAGAAAAGCAATGTGAAGAACTAGTCGTACTTCCCCCACTCCTCTGTGGACCCATGAATGAAACAACAGCCATGAATTGCATTGCGAAAATTCTCACACAGCAGCACAAACTACACATGATCCCTCTATCCACCCGGGCCACTGTGATTCCCAAACTCAAACGTCGTATTCGGATTCTGTGTGCAATGGAGGAACGCCTATGTCTCCCTGGTGCAGAACTATACCTGAACATCCAAGTATGGCATGTCAACAAGCAAACATGATTCTATGATGGAGCAAGGGGAGGGGTGTGAAGCTACCTTCTTCGTCATAACTCTGTTCAGCCGACGAAAATGGATTGAGGAGCCCATATATGTTTGTTTACGGGTGCTCACACAATCTAAACGCACTTGCAATTTATCCAATTGTAGCTTCCCCATTGACTAAACTACTTTTTTCAATCAGGCTGCTGCTGCCGCCGCCGCTGCTGCTCTTCTTCGACTTTTCTTTGCCGACAGTTGCTCCATCTTTGGCAGAGCTACCAGCTGACTTCTTCGTAACCTTTTTTCCCAAGTTGACGGTTTTGGTTGCATCACTGGATGAAGCCTGATCAGGAAGTAAAGCTTTGTGGCTAAGGCGCAGCTGGCCCTTGTCATTCACCTAACAGACATAATGCACTTGATGATTATGGATGGCAGGGAACAGAAGTCTGTTTACAGCGCTGGAAATGAAAGAAGACCGCCAATGTTGCATACCTCAATAAGCTTAACATCTACCTTGTCCCCGACCTTAAAGGCCTGTCAGTAATAAACATAAGTTTTCCATATTAGAAGAATAATAAGTTAATTTACTAGCAGGAAGAGTTGCACTCAAGTGTGAAGCAGAGGCATCCTACATCTTCTGCCTTTGGCAAATAAGTTGAAGTGAGTTCACTAATATGGCAAAGTCCCTGCAGCAAAGTTCGAAAGGTGGAACGTAAGCAACAGCTTAGTCTTCGAGAGTAAATAATTCTCACTTACAGATGTACAGATGCAAATTATTGGTCTAATTTTTAATAAGTATACCTCACGCCCTGGGGCTATCTCGACGAAGACACCATAAGGAGCAATTGATTTGATCTCACAGTTCCTGATTTTGCAACACAAAAGAAACAAACACCCTGAGGTATAACAAATACGCCAAATTACAATTTCAATCATACACACAACCTCCTCCCCCTAGGAGCCAGAGCAACATGCAGTGGAATGGTGTCTGTCCTAAACGTCACGTTCTGAGGAGACAGCCAGGAAAGAATATTCGGGTGCCTTGAATCCAACCTACTTTGATCTTCTCCTTTTTCATACAGAGAAGAATAACCAACTCAACTGGTCTCTCTTGCATGAGAGTAAATGGAAGGCGGTTGCCTTAGTGAGGGAATGGGAAGGTACTTGCCTGGGCTTCTCTAGGATTCTTATGAGTGTCATTAGGATTTAATAAAGTCCACAATACTCAAAAAGAAAACACTAACAGCCAACTCAGATAACTGAAGAAGTTTCATTTTTCTCTAACATCACACTTGTCTTGTAGGAATAAACGGAAAAGGCCAATAAAAGTAGCAAAGGAAAATGAACCTAGCACTTGAAGAGGACAAACCTGAATATGTCACCAATAGTTGGAACCATCGTAAGCCTAGAGATTATGGATATTGATTTCTCTATACTTGATAAATCCTTTCCAGTGATCTTTACCTGCACAGCCCCAAGTTTTGAGAATTCGCAGATTACATTAATGCCTAACAAAAAAATAGATATTTTGACCATTGGATCTCACAATGCCATTATCTTGTGTGTCAATTGCGTCAACACCACTTTCTTCAATGATACTCTTCACCTTCTTTCCACCAGGACCAATGATTATGTTGACCTTATCTTTATCAACCTGTAAAAACAATATTGCATTTGGTAATGGGTGCTAACATAATAAACTTCTGAGCTTAAGTGTTCTAGCAAATACAAAAGGAGACATGGATGTTAAACAAACCTTCATAATATGTATGAGTGGTGCGTACTTAGACAGCTTGCTAGAAGGGGGTGGCGAACATTTCAACATTTCAGCTGCATAGCAGCGTTA